ACAGATGTTGCTGCTTAATAATATTAAAGGCATTGCCACAGTATATACTGTAAGCTATTTCAAATAATGTTGCCTTTGCAATTGACTAATGGCAATTTTGTCAATACCAATGATGTTCAAGTAATGTTCCAGATGTTTTGAAATTGCTTTTTTTTTTTACCAATATCTTTTTGGATCCTGAGTTGATCTTCTGGGGGTGTCGGCTATACCTGCCAACTTAATGTCATCTGGATATTTGATGAGTTCCCCTTCTATTCCTCATCTAAGTAATTTATGAAGGTATTGAAGAATGCTGGGCCTAAGACAAAACCTTGTTGTACCCCACTGCTTATTTCCCTCCAAGTAACTGTAGGATCATTAAGGACTACTCATTGAGTATGGTTTGTCAGCCAGTTACAAATCCATCTGGTGGTGATGCTGCCTATCTCATATTTTTCTAGCTTTCAAAGAAGTAGCTTGTGGCCTACTATGTCAAATAAGTAAAACCCACTTTTTCCAGCAAGCCGGGCTGGCTTAAGAAGAAATTTTAAATGTTTTAATTGGTTTGTATTTTTAATTTTGGGCCAAATTTATATATATTTTAATTGTTTTTTAATATTTGTATTTTATGTTTTTTAATTCTGGCTGTACACCGCCCTGAGTCCTCAGGGAGAAGGGCGGTATATAAATTTATATATAAATTTAATAAATAAATTATATAAATTTATATATAAATTTATATATATAATTATATATAAATTTATAAATTTATTTATAAAATAAATAAATAAATAAAAAATGCTTTGCTGAAGTCTAAAAAGACTATGTCCACAGCATTTCACTGGTCTACTAATTTAGTCACTTTGTCAAAGAATGAAATAAGATTGATTTGGCATGGTCTGTTTTTAACAAACCTGTGTTTATTACTAGTTATAACTTTATTTGTTTCTAGAAGTTCACAGATCTGTTTATTTTTCCAGTATTTTTCCAGGTGTTGATATTAGGCTGATTGGTCTGTAGTTTCCTGGGTCTCCCCCCACCCTTTTGTTTTTTGAAAATGGGAACCATATCAGCTCTTTTCTAATCCTCTGATAATTCCCCAGTGCTCCAATATTTTTTTTTAATATTTAAAATTTAATATTTTTAAAGATATAATATAATGGTTCTGAGGCAACATTTGCAAGCTCCTTCAGAACTCTGGGGTGTAATTGATCAGGTCCCAGTGATTTATATTCATCAAGATCAGACAGGTGTACTCTTACCATTTTCCTACTTATTTTAATTTTTATGTCTAGTCTTTCTCTTTCAGTTATGTTTTTGGTAGGTTGGGCTGTAAGTAAGTATCTTTTTGTGTGAAGACTGATGCAAAGAATAAGTTAAGCAGTTCTGCTTTCTCTCTACTGCCTGATACTTTCTTGGTCTTTAGTGGACCAACTGTTTTATTGACTTTTTTTGTGTTATTTATATGTTGAAATAATATTTTTTATTATCTTTGACTTGTTGTAAGTCTTTGTTAGTTCTGAGCCTTTGCTTTCCTGACTTCATCTTTGCAGATTTGGGCTATCTACTGATATTCTGCCTTACTTATGTATCTCTCTTTCCATTTTTTCTACTTATCCTTTTTGCCTTTCAGTTTATCAGAGAGATCTTTGTGCAACCATGCTGATTTCTTCTTGATTTCTTGTTTTATTTTTCAGTTGTATTGTGTTGGACTGGGCTATTATTATCATATTTTTCAGTGTGTTCCCATGTTCCTTCAGTTGTTTTCCCCTTTAGGATTTTTATCCATGAAATTTTCCTTAGACTCTCTAGCTGTTAAAATTAGCTCTTTAAAGTTTAAGATACTGTTTGGATCATATTCTATTGCTTGTCTTTGCATTATATTGAATTCCAGTATGATGTGATCACTCTTGCCCAAGGTTCCAGCAACTTCAACTTCCTCTATCACTTCTTCTCTATTAGTAAGAATTAGGTCCAGAGTAGCTTATCCTCTTTACCTTTACCTTTTGGATGACAAAGTTGTCAGTTGAGTTGGTTAAGAATCTCTTCGATCTCACAATTGCTGCAGAGCTTGTCTCCCAGTTGATATCAGGGTAGTTAAACTCTCCCATTACTACTATGGTATGTTTCCTACATACATTTTTTAATTGATTAACAAATAGTTCATCTATTTCTTCTGTTTGGTTAGGTAGCCTGTAGTATACGCCTATAGCAATGTCATTTTTTCCTTTTTATATTAACCAATATGGATTCTAGAAAGTTTTCATCCTTGATTTTATGTATTTCTGTGAGATATATTTTATTATTGCATTATATTTTTTATATAATGCAATTCTACCACCTCTTTTGATAAACTTTCTTTTGAATACTTTGTATTCTTCCATCAGTACATTCCAGTCATGAGTTTCATCCCACCAAGCTTTGGTAATGGCAACTGTATCATATCTGCCTTCATGTACTAATACTTCACGTTCACCCTGTTTATTCCCTAAACTTTGAATGTTAGTTTATGGACATTTGAATCCTTTGAGTCCTGGGTATGTATTTTATATCTCCTATTTTACAATTGAGATTTCCATCCTTTCCACTCTGTACTTCATTATTTTTTCTTTTTTATTTCTTCTTTCTCTTTGCTCCTTTCCTCCTTATGTAATTGGTTATCTAGTGGTTTTTTGCTTGGAATTAGGTCCTTCCCCCTTTAAATTTTAGTTTAAAGCTCTTTTGATAAGATGAGCCAGTTGTTTTGCAAATACATTGTTTCCAGTTCTTGTGAGGTAAAGTCCATCCCTTGCCAGTAGCCCTTCATTTGGGTAATGCAAACCATAGTGTAAGAACTTGAACTGACAACACCAGTTTTAAAATATATGTATATCTTTTAGAAAATATATCTATTTTATGTTTATATGATATTTAATATTTTTAAAGACAATAATATTGATTTGAGCTATTGTTACATTTTTGGCAAAGAAGAAATGTGGAAAGTTGCATAGAATTCAGTTTTTGGAACCTAATTTTCTGAACATACCAGAGCACTACTGTCAGTAAAGAAGATAAAATTATGCCAATACATAGTTCACAGTACCTTTGAATTATTTCTTTGCAGTGATAGAGATGAGACTGATATTTGCTTTATACAATGAATGTGCATTACTCTAAATCATTTGTCCAAATAGCTTGACTTCAAAAGATAGAGCTTTCTGAACTTTAAATGAAATGTATTTTAATTAAAATAGGAGGAGGAAAGATTATGTATGTTCACTGAGTTGAGTTACCTGTAAAGTAATAAAGGCAGGATAAAAACCAAATAAATAAATGAATAAATAAAATGAACAAACAACCTGAAAAATAGATGGCTCCCTTTTCTTGTTTTTTCTCTCTCCTGCATTTATATCTGCATTTCAGGCAATGTAAGCTCAGTCCCACATGAGTTCTGATCTCAACATAGGCTGTTCAAAATGTTGCAGAAATGGTCTGACCTTGAAACAGGCATGTTGTGAGTATTCCACTTGTAAATATATTTCCAAAAGCTTCCCTTTTGGAAATGAAAAAAAAAAAAAACAAACACCCCTTCTATGGTGAACATGAGAATTTAAAAAAACACACAAAATTTCCACTAGCGACAGTTTTGTGATGGAGAACCATTGGTGTTCATTTCAAAGAAACAAAAGAATATATGTATCCAAATACTTTTCTCATCCTAGGAAACCAAACCTATAAATTTGCATGCATAAAGAAGCATAGAATTGAAAAAGAAACACAGAGTTGAAAAAGTTTCCCAATTCCCAATTCATTCTGAGATTGCCATCGAAGACAATCTGCAAACTGCTACTGATCCAGTATGCTGGTGTGTACAGTACTGGGTATTCCATGGTTTCCACTGGCTCCCAAGTGCTTTTCATGTGCAATTTAAGATATTGGTTGAAACCTTTAAAGCTCTACATGGCACTGGGTCAAATTTTTTGTAAGATTGCATCTCCCTGAGGGTATTGCCCATCCAGGGGTGGGTTCTACTTTCCTTTACTACTGGTTTTTTTTTTTAATTTGATTTATATGCCGCCCTTCTCCGAAGACTCAGGGCGGCTTACAATGTGCTCAGCAATAGCCTTCATCCTTTTGTATATTTATGCAAAGTCAGCTTATTGCCCCCACAAACTGGGTCCTCATTTCACCTACCTTAGAAAGGATGGAAGGCTGAGTCAACCTTGAGCCTTGGCGAGATTCGAACCCTGCAGTAATTGCAGGCAGCTGGTCTTAATAAGCTTAATAACAGGGTGCCTTAAACCCCTGTACTACCAAGGCTCTTTTTTTGGTTCACAACAGGATTGCACACGTGGGCTCGCTTCACTTGCTCGTGCACGCTCCTTACTTATGGGCATGCGCAGAAGCTTCTGCGCATGTGCAGATCACTGATTATGACATCTAGGGCAGTGGGTGGAACCTCTCGACGGTTTTACTACTGGTTCTTGTGAACCAGTCCGAACCAGGGCAACCCACCACTGTGCCCATTCTTGTAAGTTAAGTAGGGTGGGCATACTCAGGTCCTTTCCTTCAAATGTTGCAGGACCCTGGAGACCTCTGTAGTAATCTCAGCAATTTGCAAAAACCTCCCACTGAGATTCTGGAGGTATTAGCCTTTTAGCTTTCCAGGGACTGTGTTCCCCAAGCATTGAATAGAATAGGATTGTGTAACAGAGTTAATAGCATGGGTGGTTCAGTTAATAGCATTGTTGGGAAAGATATGGGTTTTTTATTTTGCTGCTTTTATTGGTTCTGTGAGGCATTTAACATCATTATATCAAATATGCACAATATAAGTTTGTTAAATAAATAATTAACTTCTCTCAACTGACAGTATCACTGAAATTACAGCCGCACACAGAAGCAATCTAATTTCCTCCATCTTGCACATATGTGATTGTGTCTGTATGTATGTACACACTTAGTCATGTGATGTGTGTATATAGGCTCTAAATAATGACAAAATATTAAAATAATATTGTTGTTTCGTTGTCCCTCCCTAGGCATTTCCTGGGAATGTAAATTCTGACACTGTGGTACGACATGATTTACAGCATCCAGTTATTGCCCGCTACATTCGGATACTTCCTCTGGAATGGAGTGGAGAGGGTCAAATTGGTCTGAGGATTGAGATCTATGGCTGTCCTTATTGTAAGTTCTTTAAAGTTTTCTTCTATTTGTCTACTGCTTTCTTGAAATCCTTCTGAAATAATGATATTTTAGTCTAACATGACTGGATACAAAGTATGATATAAAGTGTGTCTGAGTACAAAGATTTTAGTTTCAGTATATAAAGAAGCTATAGCTAATTACTAGGCTTTCTAATTTGAAAGATATTAGTAAATCTTTGCTGTAAACTCATAACAGCTTTAGCAAAACATCACAACTTTCCATTGCTTTTGTGGGAAATAATAATATTGGCAGATGGTCTTATTGAACTGATAATAAGCTGAGGCAGCTTTTCCTTTTTGCTTAGTTGCAAAATTTCATTTATTCATTCTTTCCCCATTTTGATTAGCCTTAGCTTGATGTATCAATCTTATGTTGACTCACTGATTGGGTAGTCTTAACCCCGAAAAGATCATAAATTCTGGAATAGTTTTTTCTGTTTATTTTCAATATTATATTCAAGTTTTAATGTTATGCATGCTTTATTAATGTATCTATTGCTACTTAGAAATCATTTCTGTTTGGTCAGTATGTTTAGCTTTTCTTTTTAATATGTTATTTTAAAATGATTTCCAAGCTATCTGAGAAAACATTTCACTGTAGAGCAGAATATATATATTAAAACTAAAATAAAAATTAAAGAAATTTTATTGTTGCAACCAATATAGGGCCTATTTCCGATGTACTCTAAATTATTGAATTAAAATTATTTTACTGTTTCCCATTACAGTGTTGTCTGGGTAATATATATACATGAAAATTCTGGCTCTGATTTTCAAGGCAGAATTCCTTTTCTTTTCTTTTTTTTCTGGGGATGTCATTATGCCTCGGCCCCCATGACTCTTCTCGTTTCCCCGGCTGTCCAGAGTCTCAGAGCCCAGGCCTTAGACTGATGTTGTGCAACGCCAGGTCCGTGGTTAATAAGGCCCCCCTCATTTGTGAGCTAATACAGGAGGGGGGTGCGGACCTGGCAGGTATTACGGAGACCTGGTTGGGCCAAGAGGGGGGGGTCCCCCTCGTAGAGATGTGCCCACCAGGTTTCCGCGCATTCCATCAGCCAAGGGCCCAGGCCAGGGGTGGGGGGGGTGGCTGTCGTTATAAAGGAAGGTCTTGATCCGAGGGAGGCCACTGTACCTCAGATAGCCGGATGTGAGTCTCTCCTGGTGAAGTGGGGCCATGGGATGCAGGTGGGCCTGCTGATCGCGTACCTGGCTCCCTGCCACGTGACAGCGGCCCTGCCCGAGCTTCTCAACGTTATTGCCGGGGTGGCGGTTGATACCCCCAGACTTTTGGTCATGGGGGATTTCAACCTGCCATTTACCGGTGGGGCGTCTGGGATGGCTCGGGAGTTTATGGCTTCCATGACAGCCATGGACCTGACACAATTAATTCATGGCCCCACTCACGCGGGAGGACACACTCTGGACTTGGTTTTTATCTCTGGTCAGTGGCGGAGTGGTCTGGATATAGGGGATATAGTTATTGAACCCCTGTCATGGTCGGACCATTCTCTCCTGAGACTGGACCTTTCGACCGCTGCACCCCACTGCAGGGAGGCGGAACCGACCAGGTGGTTCCGCCCCAGGCGCCTGATGGATCCTGATAGGTTCCAGAGGGAGCTTGGGCCAGTTCCTGAAACTCTGGCACACGACTCGGCTGAAGATCTGGTGGCTGCCTGGGATAGGACAGCCGCCGGTGCTCTGGACCGAGTCGTGCCTTTGCGGCCTCTGACCCGATGCCGAACCTGCCCGGCCCCTTGGTTTTCCGAGGAGCTGAGGGAGATGAAGCGCCGGAAAAGATGCCTAGAGAGTGGTTGGAGGGCGAGTCACTCCGAATCCGACCGAACACTAGTTAGGTCTCATATTAAGACCTATCTAGTGGCGATAAAAGCGGCAAAGCGTAACCACTTTTCCGCTCTTATTGCATCGGCAGATAACCGCCCAGCCGCCTTGTTTAGGGTGACCCGCTCCCTCCTACATCAGGGAGCACGGGAGGACCCCTTGCAAGGGCAGGCTGAGGATTTTGCACAGTATCTGCACGATAAAATCGCTCAGATTCGGGAAGGCTTGGACTCTGACTGGGTAGATCCCGGCGGGGTGACTGAGGCTGGTCTTGAGAATGTTACCTGGGATGAGTTCGACCCTGTGACTCCTGAGGACGTGGACAGGATCCTGGGGAGATTAAACGCAACCACATGTTTATTGGACCCGTGCCCCTCCTGGCTGGTACTGGCCACCCGGGAGGTAACACGAGGCTGGCTCCAGAGGATCATAAATGCTTCTCTGAGAGAGGGTTTCTTGCCTCCCGCCTTGAAAGAGGCGGTGGTTAGGCCCCTCCTCAAGAAGCCTTCTCTGGACCCGGCCGTTTTGGCAAACTATCGTCCGGTCTCCAACCTTCGCTTTGTTGCGAAGGTTGTGGAGAGTGTGGTTGCGCGCCAGCTCCCACAGTTCCTGGATGAAACCGTCTATCTAGATCCGTGCCAGTCCGGCTTCAGGCCTGGGTACAGCACGGAGACGGCATTGGTCGCATTGGTGGATGATCTCTGGAGGGCTCGGGACAGGGGTTGTTCCTCTGTTCTGGTCCTGTTAGACCTCTCAGCAGCTTTTGATACCATCGACCATGGTATCATGCTGCGCCGGCTGGAGGGACTGGGGGTGGGAGGCACCGTGTTGCGGTGGTTCTCCTCCTATCTCTCTGACCGGTCGCAGTCTGTGTTGGCAGGGGGGCAGAGGTCGACTTCGAGGCGCCTTGCTTGCGGGGTGCCGCAAGGGTCGGTCCTCTCGCCGCTCCTGTTCAACATTTATGTGAAGCCGCTGGGTGAGATCATCCGTGGTTTTGGGGTGCGATGCCATCTGTACGCTGATGACACTCAGCTGTACATTTCCACCCCAGACCACCCCAATGATGCCCTCGAAGTGATGTCCCAGTGTCTGGAGGCCGTGCGGGTCTGGATGGGGAGGAACAGGCTTCGGCTCAACCCTTCCAAGACCGAGTGGCTGTGGATGCCGGCGTCCCGGTATAGCCAGCTGGTGCCATCGCTGGCTATTGGGGGCGAGTCACTGACCCCCACAGAGGGGGCTCGCAACTTGGGCGTCCTCCTGGACACACGGCTGTCTTTAGAAGAGCATATGACGGCCGTGGCCAGGGGGGCTTTTTATCAGGTTCGCCTGATACGCCAGTTGCGCCCCTTTCTGGATCGGGACTCCTTGTGCACAGTCACTCATGCCTTGGTTACGTCACGCCTGGACTACTGTAACGCTCTCTACATGGGGCTCCCCCTGAGGAGCACCCGGAGGCTCCAGCTGGTGCAGAATGCGGCTGCGCGGGTGATTATGGGAGCGACGTGGCGCTCCCACGTAACACCTCTCCTGCGCGAGCTGCATTGGCTCCCGGTGGTCTTCCGGGTGGGCTTTAAGGTGTTGGTTCTCATCTTTAAAGCGCTCCATGGCTTAGGGCCAGGGTATTTGCGAGACCGCCTGCTGCTACCGATAACCTCCCACCGGCCAATACGCTCTCACAGAGAGGGCCTCCTCGGGGTGCCGTCGGTCAGGCAATGTCGGCTGGCGGCCCCCAGGGGGCGAGCCTTCTCTGTGGGGGCACCCGCCCTGTGGAATGAGCTGCCTCCTGGAATACGATTGATCCCGGACCTCCGGACCTTCCGTAAAGCCCTGAAGACGTTTTTATTTCATCAAGCCGGCCTAGCCTAAATGGTTTTTAATTGGGATTTTAAATTTTATGGATTTGGGGTTTTAAATTTGGGTAGCCAATGATTTAATTCTTTTAATTATCTTAACTTTTGCATTTGTATGTTTTTTAATTTTGGCTGTTCACCGCCCTGAGTCCCTTCTGGGAGAAGGGCGGTATACAAATTAAATTAATAAATAAATAAAATAAAATTATAATTTCCACCATTATGTCAGTCCTATTGCTTTACTACTGATGTTATAAAAGGAATATTGTAGTCTTCTGAGAAAACCAGTGCAGGAACAAAATATTTAGAGCATGTAAGAAAAGGCATTAAAAGCCCTAAGGGAAGCGAATAGAAAGGATAATGAAATTCATGGTTCTGTACTCATATCTGTCATATCGAAGCTCTATAGATTTCATTGATATCTCATATTATTTCTAGAAATGCATCAGTTCACAGTGCCAGTCACACTGCCATTAGAACCCCAAGCATGTTTAAGAGGGGGGTAAAACATTATATTCATCCACCTCATCTCTTTCACATAGTTTTGCTTACACCGCAAAGTGTCTCCAGTTTTATCCTTGAATTTTGCATAAAAACTTCCATATTGAGGAACCAATTTGTTCATATGACAGAGAATGCACAGAAGAGGCAGAACAACTGAAATTTCATGCCTTCATATATGAATCCTATATTGTTAGATATAACAATATAGATTTGTCATAGGAATTGTATCAAAAATTCCAAAAATTGCCAGATATTTATGGAATTAATTGCTTATTTGCTTACTGGAGATCAGCAATCAGGGATAGTTTTATCACTGGTTGCTGATCTACAGATAGTTTTATGTATCTTATGCAACTTATATATAAGTATGCAAACACTTGTAGTAGAGCTGGGAAAAACATTTGAAAATGTGTTTGAAACAACCACTAGTACAAAGAAATCCTATTTCTTCACCCTTGCAAAGTAACATGTGTTTTACAGTGTTTTCAATGGAAAAGAAAAAAAAAACAGCTGGAGTTCAGCAGGAGTTTGAAATAAATCAGCATGCAACCAGCTGTCAACTTTTAAAGACAACAAAGCAGAGTAAAACAATAAATCCAAAAAGTGAAGGTTAAAACCCAGTCTTGCTTAGAAAATGAAACTGCTGACTGGAAGATGGATTTGCTCAGTGACTTTCCAACTGCTCCCAGAGTCTTCAAGAGGCCCTTCTGAAGTGGGTCCATGGCCATCCAAAAATTGTTGGATCATCCCTAAGTGCTCCCTTAGAAATCCAGGGAGCAGTACTGTC